CAAAAAAAAAAAAAAAAAAAAACTGAACTAATACCTGCTTCCTTAGAGCTTCCTTACACTGGGCCTGGTTCTGTGAAGACACTCTGTAAACTGGACCTACTGCTCCATGATGGCTCTTGCAGATGTAGCCTATTTTTTTTGAGACGGGGTCGTGCTTTGTTGCCCAGGCTGGAGTGCAGTGGCATGATTATGGCAGCCTCAACCTTTTTGGGCTCAAATGATCCTCCCGCCTCAGCCGTTTGAGTAGCTTGGACTACAAGTGCATGCTACCACATCCAGCTAATTTTTTATATTTACATATTTTTTGTAGAGACGGGGCTTTGCCATATTGCCCAGGCCAATCTTGAACTCCTGAGCTCAAGCGATCTGCCTGCTTTGGCCTCTCAAAGTGCTGAGATTATAGGCATGAGCCACAGTACTTGCCCCAGACATAGCCTTTCAATACCTGGCTCTCCACGGTAACAGTAACTTAGTCTGTTGGGTGCTGCCTTTGTTCCAGGCACCTGCCAGTGATGGCCTCTTTGCACCCATGAATCCTTCCCACAGCCGAGGCTCTGAGGGGCAAGTGACCTGCCCCAGATCATGCTGTGAGCAGGAGTGGCAGAGCGGCCTGCTCTGGCCAGGGCTCTAACTACATAATCTGTGGCTGCTGCTTTTAGCTGTTCTTCACGGAACATGGTTTCTAGTCCCTCCCACCCTGGTCACCAGAGACTCCAGCAGCAGGTGTTCCATTTGCCTCGTAGCATAGACAGCCCTTTACTGAGCAATGCCAAGGGCTTGGGGCTCCTCACTGGGGCTGGCTCTTTCGCATCTCAGAAGCCCTGCTCTTGTTCTCTTTTCCCTGGAAGTCTGTTCTGTTCCTTTACCTGAACAGTTCCTCTTCATCTAAGCCCCAGCCCAGGAGTCCACACCTCTAGGAAGTCATGATGACTTCCCTCCCTCCAGCTGTGCCTGAATATACCTGAGGAAATATCAGTTGAAGGAACAAAGACTAGAGGATAGAAGGCGGAACAGGGCAGCCTAGCGCAGACCCAGCCAGGCCACCACCTCTGTGAGCAGCAGACATTCCTGTCTACGAACTCCTAGAGCCACCTCCCCAGCTCCCCAGGGACCCAGCAGCAGCAGGCTGAGCCTCTACCACCTGCCATCCAGCCCAGGCCTGATTGTTAAGGTCTCCTTAAAACCCTCTCTGCCAAGTCCTTTCCTTTCACTTCTCCCTCCCCAACTTTCCTCAGCTCTGATCTTTCCTTTTTTGTCCTCAACAAGTGCAAAGCTGGGCCAAGTTTGTTTTCTGGGAATTCTTTCTCACAAACTGAGTTGCCCTTTGACATGATTTCTACAACAACACCTCCTATGGGAACCATGCTGGACCCAGGCTGCAGAGGGACCAGCTCTTCCTGACTTACCTGCCCACTGCTCTAGCCCTTCCCCGCTCCTCAGCTTGGATGGCTCTCCCCAGCCCACATCTCATGCCCTTGACTCCCCAGTCCACTTCTTGTGCCTGGTCAGCTCTGTTCCTGCAGTCATTTCACAAACATTTCCTGACCTCCTATGCGTTAGGCCATGGCAGGAAGCTGAAGACTTAGGAATGAGTCACAGCCATCCTTGCCCCTGAGGGGCTCCCTTTCCTGAAGTGGAACAAGCACATCAGTGAGCTACTAAGAAATGTTTCACTTGGAAGATACTAAGAAGCCCAGAAAAGACAGTCAAAAATACTCATCCCTTTAAAATTGTATAAAATACCAAGGAAAAGTCCCCCTTCCATCCCTCTGATGTCAGCTTCCAAAGAAATGCCAGTTAAACCATTTGGCAGGATCCTTCCCTGCAATCTTCTAGCTTGTACAGATGAAGGGGTAATTATAATACAGTTTTACAATTTGTCTGTCCATTGCTCAGTGTGATGCCTTCTACTGAGGGGGTGGATGTTTACTGAATCAATGAGGGATGTTTTGCAGCAGATTTTCAATCAAGGGTAGGGAAGATACCTCTCCAGGGAAGTATTTTAGAATGTGTGGGGTAGGGGTAGGCATTGGTGGAAAACTTACATTAACAGTTAAAACATCTTTTTGTATTGGAGAGTAGGGGGGAAAATCAGTATTTTCCTAATAGGACCATGGCAAAAATCTTGACAAAATCTTTTAGGCTGCTAGGACCTAGCGAATGAAATTTCCCAAAGAAACCTACTGAGTGTGATGAGAATGTGGGAAAAGAAATGGATGTGTGTCTGAGGGAATCAGGACCCACATCTATCCTGGCTTTCAGAAAGACTCAGGGGCATGGGGAGGAGTTTGATGGGAAAGGGCTTCCAGGCCATGTGAATGGCAAGTGCAAAGTAAGAAAGCAAGGCCGGCCATGGAGGCACAAATAGGGAAGGATGAGCTGGGAGGGAGGAGCCAAAGCTCGTCCAGGTAGCTGAACAAGACTCAGGAGTATTTGGCTCAGATAACTGACAAGGCCTGTCCTGAAATACCAGGCCCAGCTCCATGGGTCTGTCTCTTTGTTTCATTCCAGGGCAGGCAAAATGGGTGTCAGCATTTCCAGACTTGTAGCTACCCTACCCAGGGAGATAAAATGCATCCCCTGGGCCAGGTGGGGTGGCTCACGCCTGTAATCCCAGCACTCTGGGAGGCAGAGGTGGGTGGATCACTTGAGATCAGGAGTTTAAGATGAGTCTGACCAACATGGGGAAACCCTGTCTCTACTAAAGATACAAAAATTAGCCGGGCATGGTGGCGGGCACGTGTAATCCTAGCTACTCAGGTGGCTGAGTCAAGAGAATTGCTTGAACTCAGGAGGTAGAAGCTGCAGTGAGCCAAGATTGTGCCACTGCACTCTAGCCTGGGCAACAGAGTGATACTCTGTCCCCAAAACAAACAAACAAACAAAAACATGCCCCCTGGCTAGGTTTGAGTCCTTGTGCTCAACCCCAGAGAAGGCAAGGTCAGCCCTATCTGGTCCTCATGATTTGAGGGTGGGAAAGTGTAACCCCCAAAGAGATGGGTTCTGTTGCTTGAAGAAGTTGAAGGGGCAGTGGGTACCAGGCCAATCAAAGCTGCCCACCCGGAGGTGTATGGTCAGTGCATACACAGGGCCTTGGAGTCCAGGAGCCTGGCCCAGGCATGCCAGTCACTCCCACTGGTTCCTTGGTTGGGATCTGTTGTTGCCCATCTGTCTTGGAATTTTAGCATAAGGTAGCATGTGATGTGACATGAAGTCCATATGCAGGCATTTTTTCTCCCTGTTGAATGGTTCTCCATTTGTGGTGTTCTGCCCCAGTCTCTACAATTCTTGGGCTCCATGTCACAGGACCAACCACTGGGGGTCCAGAGAAGAACCCACACTAGAGAATGGCCACCTC